GGAGAAGGAGAAGGAGAAGGAGAAGAAGAAGAAGGAGAAGGAGGAGAAGAGAAGAAGACGAGAAGGAGAAGGAGAAGGAGAAGGAGAAGGAGAAAGAAGACGAGAAGGAGAAGGAGAAGGAGAAGGAGAAAGAAGACGAGAAGGAGAAGGAGAAGGAGAAAGAAGATGAGGAGAAGGAGAAGGAAAAGGAAGATAAGGAGAAGAAGATGAGGAGAAGGAGAAGGAGAAGGACGACAAGGAGAAGGAAAAGAAGATAAGGAGAAAGAAGACAAGGAGAAGGAGAAGGAGAAGGAAGATGAAGAGAAGGACGACAAGGAGAAGGAGAAGGAAGACAAAGAAAAAGAGGACGAAGACAAAGAAAAGGAGAAGGAAGACAAGGAGAAGGAGAACGAAGACAAGGAGAAGGAGAAAGACGACGAAAACAAGGTTAAGGAGGACAAGAATGACGAAGAGAAAGACAACACACAGCTGGTATCCTTTCCCTCCCTCCCTCCCTCCCTCCCTCCCTCCGTGATCCCACCCATCCTCTACTGTACCACTGACTATTCTGTAGCAATCACATCCTGACTGCAGCCCCTGCCCTTCGGGTGAGTATGAGAAGGAACCTTGTACAGCAGAGAAGAGCCGTGTCTGCAGCCCCTGCTCGTCGTGCCCCTCCGACCACTACCAGACCGAAGCATGCTCGGCTACGGCAGACACCTCCTGCTCCCCTTGCTCCACCTGCGGGCCCAACTCTTACGCCAAGTCCTCCTGCACCACCTCCAGCGACACTGACTGCGAGGCCTGCAGCGACCTGACTTGCCCGGCGGGACAGGAGAGGTGAAGAGGAGGCAGGACCGTCCTCCCCCGCGTCTCACATTCTGACAGGAAAGGATGTGGCAACGGTGCTGAAGGAACTTGTGAAGCCACGCCAAGCCCACCACCACCTCCCCCCCCTCCTCCTCCCTCCGCCTCATCGCCTTCCTCCCCTGTCTCCCCCTCATCGGGCAATGTGGAGCGAGCGGTGGATCTACGGGTAGCAAGGGACCAGTACCTCAAGGCCGCCAATGAGGTCAAGATGGACACCGGGCCCTTCAAGGCTGCTAAGGATGCATACGTTGCTGCTGCTTCCTCCTACACAAGGTAATCTCCTTCCTCCCTCCTCTCTCCTGCTTTTCTCCCTTTCCGTGTATCCTTCCTGAACTTCTGCTTCCTGCCTCCCTCCCCCATTGTTGACTCGTTTGTTCAGGTGGTTGTTCGGAGGAGGCGGAGGAGGCGCTGGAAGGAACTTGACCAAGATGTCTAACAACCTGTATGCCGAAGCCAAGACCACAAGGAGAGGAAGGAAGTAAACCCAGATGATGTGAGAACAACGAGAGATGTTGTGCAAAGATATGAGGCACAGCATTCCAACCACAAGAGATTCTGCTCATCTGGCATCTATGAGGTTAATCGTGACAATAAATATAATAGTTTGCGATTCTCGTCCTATACTCTCATCTTTTACATCCGTGCTCCAGCAAACCACAGGCTTGGTTATCTACATGATGGCTTTATATACAACAAACATGAAGTAACTCATCATAGGGGACAGCCAGGCCCTACACTGAAACAGGAGTCGTCCTCCCATCCCGCTTCTTGCATACATATTCTGCGCTTTTTGTCATATACAACTTTCTGCATAACCGTGCTGTTGTGCTTGATGTAAGAAGAGATGGTATCAAGCTTTGCAAGTTGGCTCTTGAGGCTGTCACTCGAGTCGCTGGAGGAGAAGTTCACACTGCGCTCAGTCTCCTCCTCCGCTGCCTCGATCTCGAACCTCACGCAAACAGTAGCGTGATTCGAGCTGTACGAATCGAGAGAAACCGCCGGCTCGCTGTCTTCTGTCGGCATGCAGGGCAACTCTAGAACATGTGATGAGGCTCCACTCCCTACAGTCCACGCAGCATCGGTATCCTGCTGCGCCCAACTCCAGGTTCTTTTCCTGTTGGTAGTTTGACTTTCGATGATGTACATCAAAAGTCCGCAGAAATCAAGATTCTGCGATGAGAGGATTGGATCTGTTTCACAAACGACGGACTCTCAACTAGTCCTCTCGGTCAATGTCGTTTGAATGAGCCTGTGCTTTCGTTCGAGAACTTGAATGGGAGACTGAAGGAGGGCAGGATCGAGAAGAGCGAAGGTTGAACTCAATTGCAGCAAAGGAGGTGACTACAAGATACAAGGAGGACTCCGAGCTAGAGGGAAGCGCAAGAAGCAAGTAGCAGGAGGAAGGAAAGACGCAGGAGGAAGGAGGAAGGAAGAGGGAGGAACAATGGGGAGGAGGAGAGCAGGGGCAGGTTAACCAAGGAGGAGGAGATCCGATCTTGTGGGGGAGATGGCCGGGAGCTCGACCTACCCAGTCGGAGTGGTACCCCTTGAATTGGGTACCCCCACCCCTAGGGGGATCAGTTCTCCTGCTTTTTATATCCCCACCCCTGATATTCCCCAAAATTGCACCACCACCAAACCTCCAGTACCCACAAATTTGTTCAAGTACCCCCAATTATTCTCTATAAAGTACCGGTTTGTGTTGAATACGTGATGGCCCCCACCCAGTGGAACGTGACCACGGTGTACAGGACCCATCTTGAAACTGTCGCAGTTACAAGGTGTAGACCCTCCACCCCCCTTGTTGTACCCCACCCCCACATCACCTGGTGGCCTCGTGTCCTCCTTCCCTAGTCGCTCACGGGACTGTTTGAAGCAGTTTGATCGGGGGAAGGGGGTGGTACAGTAGGGTGGGGTGATCACATACACTTTTCTGGGGTCATAATTGGAAATGAGGGGGTACCTGAAACAGAAAGGGTACGGGTGGGGTAGTTTGGGATTATAAAAGCGGGTAGCAGAGGCCCTGAAGGTGGTAGCAATGTAGTAAACATGTTTATGGGGGGTCAAAGCATGGAAAATGTGGGGTGGTCATTAATACCTGGGGGTGGTAAGCCCTATCACCACCCTCCTAGGCCATGCGAGGTACGTGCAGGGATGACTAACTCCCCTGCTGGTCACGAACCCTGCATGCTAACCCCATGGGATAGGGCTAATGGGGGGTAGGGGTGCTTCATACACCCACTCATCTCCGGTTAACTCGTCTGAATTTCCCATAGCTCAAGGGGGTAGGGGTACCTCAAAGACCCCCACTGGCTCCCTCATGATGAGTAAAGAACAGCCTTGCAGCAGTCGGGAAACTCGGACACCACCACCCTATTACAGGAGTACCCCTATACTCACCTTTTTTATCAGGGTGGGTGGTAGAAGAGCGACCGAAGGGCGGCTGCTCCATGGCCGCTAAAACTACTTTTAATAATCTTAAAATAGATGTAGCAGAGATATTTCAAACCACCTCCTTTGAGTGGTCTGTCCGTCACTCGCTGTCCTTCCATCCCTCCCCAATTAGCTCCGGGGCGAGCTGGCTTTCACTAACCTCCGGAGTAGTACAGTCCCTTACTCCCTAGTTATAAATTTCTGCCTTATCACTTTTCCTAAGAACATCGCAGAGGCGGGCTGGATAGATACGGGGGCAGGAACTCGGGCTGTAGCCCCGGATACCACGGAGGTCTCGGGCTGACGATATGGCGGTCACGCGGCCAAGTAGTGCTCGCCGAGGCAGGCCCATGGCTGCTCTGATGAGTAAACTTTAGTCGGGCCCCGGGTCCCCGGGGCTCACATCATCGTAGGGACTCATCACTCAGTAATCATGATGGGAACATAGAGCCGTTACAACGGAATGACATTGTAACGTCTCTAACGACCACTCGTTACGAATCCTGGACCGGGCATGCGTGGGGGCCATAGGACGAAGGAGCCCCTGGAGTGACAGAGGAAGAGAGGAGAGAGGAGAGAGAGAGAGAAGAGAGAGAGAGAGAAGAGAGAGGAGATCGAGCTGAAGACAGAGCAGCCCTTGAGAAGACTGCGTTAAAGGGGCTACAGGTCACGGGTGAAGGAGGAACTAAGGTAACAGAGGTAGCAGTTCAAAGGACTTGAAAGAGGAGCCTCTGGTCGAGAAAGGAAGTCTCGACGTCCTCGTACATCAGCACTACATCGTCCTGCTCACCTTGCACATCCTGTGGTCTACATCAATGCCGCACTTTGCTAGCGCCCTTGAAGGTAGGCTCCCCGCCGGAGCCGCGGGAATCCGTCTCAAGTCGATCCAAGGCTTGCTCTCCCTCCTTTTGCTGGTTTTTGTGCTCTCCGCTCATGCTCTCCCTGCTCCTGCTCGGAGATCCATCCTCAGGCCTATGGGCGCCATCGACGCTCGCCATGCTGGCATGCAGCGTCAGTGCAGGCTGACATGCTTGCGGGGGGGGCAAGATGCGCAAGGAGAAGAGACGGAGGGGGAGGTGAACCGTGAGAGCAAGGACGGCAGCGCTGAGGAGGAGGACGGAAGCTCCCCAGGAAGTGCGGGCGCTGATGCGAGCAAGGAGGATGGGGAGCAGGAGGCGGAGAATGAGCAGGAGGGTGCGGGTCAGACTCCGGCACCCTTCGTGCATAGAGCAGCGTTTGGTATCCCCGTGCCCAACGAGCTCGCAGCGTCCGTTGTGAACCTGCTGATCAGCGTGGGCTGCATCCTGCTCACTGCCGTGCTGAGGGCAGGGTACCTGTACAGGGGGCAGCAGCCGCCCAATCCAGGGGCGATGCAGGTGACCATGAACGTGCTGATGGGGATGAGCAGCGTTCAGTTGCTGTTCATCGTGCACAGGCTGCTGGTCCAGGCGGCTCCCACGATCAAGAACGTGTACAGGGACGTGTTCCAGCCCGGTGAGCCCCCGAAGACGAAGGAGGAGGCGATGGCGAAGAGGAGGAGGCAGCGGGTAGCGCTAAGGGTCATGCGGACAATATCTACCATCATGTTCATGGCGCTGTACAGGGCCAGAGGAAGGATGAGCAAGAGCGATGGAGGAGGAGGAGGAGGAGGAGGAGCGCAGGCAGCAGCAACGGTAGCGTCCTTGGCTTCCACCTTCTCCTCGCTCAAGAGCTCGGCGAGATGGATGTGGATGTCGGCGCTTGAGAGTATCTTCACGCTCCTCGGAGACGAGCTGGCGCTGCTGGGCCTTTACGTGGCGGAAGGAAGGGAGCTCACGGATGAGCAGAAGGCGAGGGTGGCGCAGCTTGTGAAGGAGCAGGAGGAGAGAGAGGCGGCAGAGAATGGCGAGAACCTTGGGGACGGCAAGGAGGAGGAGGAGGGAGGAGAGGAGGAGAAGGAGGGGAGTGGAGAGCAGAGGGAGGGGATGGAATTGAGGAAACCTGGTCTGGAGGGACTGCTGTCTGGAATTGGCTCGTTCTTTGCAAGGAGGAAGGAGGAGGCTGCTGCTGTTGCCAGCCCTCCCCTGAGAGAGGAGGAAGAGGAGGTGCGAGAGAAAGTCAGGAGCGACTCTTGCCCTGTTGACAGCCGCGGGGAGGAGGTGGCAGCGCCCGGTCTGCGAGGAAGCGAGGAAAGAGCTGAAGTGCAAGCAGAGGAGGAGGAGGAGGAGGTGAACGCTGGCCCTGATCTAAGCTTGCGGAAGGAGAGGAGGAGGAGGAGGAGCAAGGTTTGATTTTTCTCGCTCTCTGGAGCACATGACGGAGATTGCAGGAGAGGAGAAGGAGGTGACGCCAGGGCCGCAAAGTATCACTGACATGATCCCTTCCAAGGTGAGGAGGGGAGGTGAAGGGAGGGAGGAGGGAGGAGAGGGCTTCTTCGAGCGAGGGCAGGATGGAGAGAGGAAAGGGGAGGGAGGAGTGAAAAGGAAGGGACCGGGATGTTGTAGTAGGAGGAGAGAAGAAAGGGTAGGAGGAGAGAGAAAAGAGGAGGAGGAGGAGGAGGAGAGAGAAAAGAGGAGGAGGAGGAGGAGGGAGGAAGTAGCGGTGGAGTACGAATACTGG